TTATCTGGACATTAATCAAATGTTGTCCTAGATCTCAATGAATCACAGGCCTTTTCTGCATGTTACTTAGACAAATTGCTAAGTTCTTTCTTTCTTTCTATATGTAGGATGCATTTATTTGTTTGCCTTATTTTATTCATATATTTGCATGACCTATTTTGTTTAATTAACATTTATTTTTATTTCCTTATTTTGTTTTATTTTGACATTTATGTTACTTTTATTTATTTGCTTAACTGCACATTTTATTACTTTGTTTGTTTTACTTTATTGGTCACATGCCTAAATCAGATGTAAATGTTAACATGTTAAGTATTTTTATAAAATAATAAACTATTTAAAAACTTGTGCTGGTCATGCTTTAATGTGAATAGAGTCATCACTGACAAGGTTGCAGACATCTAGCTGCATATTATGTCTAAAGTGTGACTATATTCTTATATAATTAATGTGTAATGCCATAGTCATTCTTAATGTCATAGTCAGTCATTTAAACAATAATAACAGAGAGCTGCTCTTTTGATGGAATATGGTTATAATGTTTTCCAGAGTGCAGTAGTACCCTGTTTAATAAGTAATGATCCCTCTTAAAAGATTAAAACAGGTCTATAAATAAAAGTACAGTAACATTAAGTGACAGCTGGCGGTACTTCCTCCCATGTGCTTTGCATGAGATACACTGACCTTACGCAAGAGAGTGTGACATCATGAGTTAACAGCGTGAGACAAATGATGTTTGTGGTGAAGATGAATAATTTATACCATGATTGCTTTATTTTCCTTGGTCCTAATCTCTCACGGTGCATAGAAGTGCCTTATATAAATACGGCTGTGTGTTTGATGGCCACATTCATACTCAAAACCCAAAATATTTCTCCGTTTTTAACCCACAGTCCAACCCTTGTTTTTCTACCATCATTGCCATAAAGCCTCCTGCCAGACGAGATGGACTAATATATTTTTTCTTGTGAGAGTGTTTGCGTGCTTCACGCTCAGGAATGTTGACGAGAACGAAGCGGGTCTCCTGGTATCCCAGTTTGGAGGCTGTGAAACGAGGCCCTGCAGATGTGTGCTTAGACCCTCACTGAGTTTGATCACGAGGGTCCGTGCAGCTGTGAAGTTGTAGGTCACCAGTGAGCTCTTATATGTACACGCATGTCCAGAGGGGGAGAGAGATCTTTAGCTGGTGTCTTTCAGGAGCTGTTAGGATTTTGTACTGATGTGTAATGATGCTGAACACAAATGACATGCTCTGAAATCCCCCGAGTGGAGCTGCTAATGAAGCGTTTAGATTGTGTGATTACTGGAAACGGGCACGAACAGGACCAAAGTCTCTCAGCATTTTTGTGAAGATTGGTTATTCAATTCATGACGTTTAACAACACAAGGTGAATACATATAAAATAATGAATTAAAGTGGCTATTATTATTATTATAATTCGAAACTAACAAAAATGTAATTATTTTGTTTTAATCACTCCTTTTTTTGTTTGAAAAATATCAACAATATTTCAGAAAATGTATTTTTGTCATTTTAGCTTCCAATTCCCATAAAGTCAAATAATTTGGAGATGATGAATTTATAAGGATATTTTATTTTATTATTTCATTTAATTTAATTTAAGACTTTAGGTTAAAATTTATAAGTCAAGGTAGCCTATATATTTTTAGATTTGCATTGTATGCCAGTTTTGTAATGAAAGTTTTGTCTTGGCAGTTCGGAGTTAAATGGTATATTTTACTAATTTAATTTTACATTTTTGTTTTTTTAATGGATTAAAAATACTTTAATTAATAGAACAAACTGAATTTATTGCATATAAAATTTTTATAGCAAACCAGAATATATTGCAATTAATCATGCCTCCTGAGTCATATATACAGTCCATATTAAGGGATTTTCCTACCATTAGAGCAATAGATCTGTTCACTTGTGATTTATGACATCAATTTTCAGGCCAATCCGGAAAGCTAATTCTGCATGGGTTCCCTTGGGAATTTCCTAGCGGTTTTCAATTTATGAGTAAATGAGGTCTGAGGTTGTTATTATTACTTGAAGAGACTTTCACATTTTGTTCTACAAAGGAGTAAATACCTCAAATGTGATTGTCTTTATTTAAACAAATATTGCATTTTAAAATGTAACTTGCTAAAAAGTCAAAAGCCATATTTGAACTAACCTTCTACTATAATTTGAATCTGTTAAAATCCTTGCAAAGTTTTACAGTTTTGTGTTTACCATTACGGCATTAAAGTTCATTATGTTCTGCCCTTTCTTGATTCCATTGATTTGTGTGATCGAAATCCTTTATTCAGGAACTAGGCTGTCTTGCATTACTGTGCATGCATGCAAACGCACACAACATATCTATCTAGAGACCTCAGAGTGGGGCGATATGCTGTGATTCAACAATGAGGTCAACCTGCCAGCGGGCAGAGCTGAATCCTCCACAGGGACGCCCAGTTCTTTGACTCAAGTGGAGAGCTTATCGTTTATCAAACCCTCTTCTGTTCTCTCACAGCTACAGTCACTCAATGGGCTTTTGTTGTCAGAGATGCAAATGTTTTGGTGGGGTGACGTGTCTTTGGAATATTGTTGCCTGGATCTCATTCATCCAGATGGCATGCACACAATCAGAGGGTGGCTATGAGGTCATGTTTGAAAACATGGAGAATTGCGAACAACCGTCTAGAGTCTAGACGGTGACAAGCACTTTGTTGATACGTTTCCATCTTAGTTTCAGAAAAATCAGACTAGTCTTTTTAAGGATTATGTTTGTTGTACAACTCGGTGTCTTTGATCTTGGTTTGTTTGAGTGATTGGTGCGTCTCAAGTCTTTTGTTTGCTGTTGGTGGTCAGTCAAAGCTAATAGGCCTCCCCTGTGTAAAGAAGCCGATAATCAGATTATTAAACCATAAATCACAGTGCCCAGTTGGGAATCAGTAAGTTCAGTGAACCCAGTGTCTAAGAGCACTTCAGTTCTCTCGTATTAAGCTTCTTCTTTTTCATTCCCTCTACAGTGACATAACAATAGGATGATACAACCATCATTAGTCTTCCAAGACATGCAGTATATTTCACTTTAAGAGAAAGGACAAAGGGAAGTGGTGAAAAAAAAAATAGAAAGAAAAAAGTGGTTTCAAACAGGGCTGAGAAACAAGAACTGGTTCTTCTTCAAAACAAAAGTCCCATTTAAAAAAAAAAAAAAAAAAAAGCAATAATAATAACATCAGCAAATTCAATGCTTTCTTATTTTAAAGTTAAAAAGAATGGTATAAGTTTTATTTCTTTGCTTATTGTATTTACTTAATTATTTGCTTCTTTTTGCTCTGTGTTTATTCACATTATTTCTGTATTTATTTATTTATTTGCTAATTTGCTTGCTTGCTTTATTTACATGATTTATTTTAGAACATTTCATTACATTATAATGTAATATATAACATTTATTACATTATATATTTTTATTTACTTATTAAAAATTCCAGAACAGACTGATTGTGTCATGACGTTTCTTTAACAGTTTTTGGAACCTCGATAAACCATGCCATTCCATTGTCCATACTTTGAATTTTGTCTGTGCAAATAAATCAAGAACCTTTCAAACACTAAATGCAATAAATGCAAATCAATAATTATGGGAAACAGAGTTTTTAAATTGTTGATTGCAAGAACTGTTGACAATGTGAAATGTTCTCATCATTTGACACCAGCCTCCTAAAGGCAATACATGCAGTAAGAATGTGACCCAAATTGTGAAATGGAAACAGAATCTTTAAAGTCCTTACATTCTCATACCTAGTTGCATATGAAAAGGAAGGAGTGTTAAAAAAGAATGGTGAAAAATGCAAGCAAGGTGTCTGGGGAACAGGAAAAACTGTGTTGTCAGCAATAGGCCTGGAAAGAAAATCTCAGGCAGCTGCAGTGGAGTACAACAAAGAGTAAAGGTCTAGATTTCCTCATGATATAAGAGCCTGGCACATACTACAGAGAATTCTGCACTGGATGGAGTTGAATTTAGGAAGAAATGCAACCCTTTACAGCTTTGGGCTCCCAGGATCCTCTGAGCTCATAGTTATGTAATCACAAAGTGAATGTGGATTTGGAAAGAAAGGGGATTTGCAACTTGGATTTGTGCCTTGGACCACATTACCACCCGATGTCTGCATTGCAACCTTTTGTTTTCATTTGTGCAAAATTGCCACTTTCACTTCAACTTCATGTTTAGTAGAACTCTCATCAAAAAAATATAATTGTTCTTTTACTAAATTACAATTGCAATTACTGTCTAAATATAACAGTATTTACTCACAAGATGTGTGGTTTCCCAGGACCATTTTAAGAGCACTGATGTCCTATGCCAGTCCTAATGCTAACATGTTAATATAAGTCAATAATAATTAGGGCCTAGAATTTGGCATGCATTTTGTGTGGTTTAATTCCAGATTCATCTATTGAGTAAACAAATGGTTCATAAGTTCATAGTAAACCAAGTTGGAAGTGTTCAAAGCTTTGGTTTATGTGGTGGTGTGGTGGCCATTATGCTAAAGTAAATCCTTCAGTAACAGGAGCTCTGTAAATCAACACCCGTGCAGCGTGTCACCCTTTCATGACCACACTTCCTCCAAGAACAATAAAAAGGCTTATGGATGGAATAGGAATTTCTTTTCCGACCTCTTATACCTCTCCTTTCTTGCATTACATAATACTTCAAGTGGCTTTAATGTTGAAATGCTTCATTAATTTGTTCTACCTTTTTCATTCTCAAAGCCAAGCTTCCATTACAATTAATCCTTTAAAACAAAATGGGACATACATTTAATATGTGATATCATTAGCATGGTCCAAAATACCATGTATAATTCCAATAATTTCCAACAGCTGACGGTTCACCTCAAGTTCTAAAATTAAAAGAGAATCTTTCTCCAATTTGGTAGTAAAATGTCAGCCATATAAAATAAAATGACATTTATGTCTTTTCTCTTCTGTTGTAGGTCAATTTGCAGATGTTGAAAGCTGGACGCTATACTTTAAGGATAAAAATGGCCATGTGTCCTGGATACGTGGAAGAATTTTCATCCTGACCACTGTCCTGGATCTACACCATCATAGGAAAGAGTGACTAATCTCTTGGCAAAGAAAGACGTTGGTGATTTAATTTTTCTGTGGACCGTATTTGAGTAGTCATCATGCCTATTCTGAAGCAGCTTATGTCCTCGTCCTCCCAGTCGAAGCGGCGTTCTCGTGCTGACCTGACTGCGGAGATGATCAGCGCACCTCTAGGAGACTTCCGTCACACTATGCACGTGGGTCGAGGAGGCGACGCGTTTGGGGACACCTCCTTTCTTAGCAGTCGCTCAGGGGAGCCACCAAAGGAGCCGGAGGTACAGCAGAGCTCACCTAAACAGAGCCTCCTTTCCCGTACGTTCCGAAGCAGCAAGCGCTCCCAATCGGCCAATCGCGACAAACCTGACAAATCCAAACTGGCGCCCCCTGGTGGTTCGCCGAGTTATGTAAAAAACGCAATCTCGCTGCCATATTTGAATGACGATGATGCGGGACGAGGTACTGGAATCCACCTTCCCAAGAGCGTGTCCTCAAGTCCTTTAAAGAATCTTCCAGAAGACGAAGTAAAGCCGCTTAATGGAGCCATGGCGCCTGCTGTATCAAACGTGGAGCTGGACGAGAGGAGTTTCGGAGAGCTGACTGACTTGCGTCCATCGGTTCCTTACACCGGAGGCATGAAACATGCCGAGTCCATCATGTCTTTCCACATTGATCTGGGTCCCTCAATGCTGGGCGACATCCTGAGCGTGATGAACAAGAAGGGCTTTGACGATGACGATCTGGGATTTGAAGAAGGGAAGAGTAGCGAGGGGCGCAGCTCGCCACCCCAGAGCCCTCCCAATGAGGTGGAAGAAGAGGACCCTCTTCCTCCGATCCGGCCCCCACGGCAAAGGCCGGGCACCAACCCTTACACTCCAGAGCTCCAAACCAGGAACCGTCAACACCTGGACAGCTGTTCCCTCTCCAGTTCAGGGTCCACCGTGCTGGATGAAAAATCCCACAATCAGATGTATGAGGGGAACATGAACAACATCAAGTACAGCTCACCTCGAGTTCAAGACGATAGGGACTTCTCCTACATGGATGATGACGATGATGACGAGATTAGGGTGTAAAGTGAACAGTCTTTGCAAAGAGTAAAAGAAGTGGTGGAGGTGGGTTGTGGTCGATTGGTAGATGTAAAGCTCGCACACTGACTTGGAGGACTGATTTTATAATGGAGATGAAAGGGAAAACGTATGTTTTAGCCCTTGATAATGCTTTTTCACTACATTTTCTAGTTCAGGTATACAAACCTTCTGTTACTAGTGACTTTAACCAGAGCCACCACAGCTGTGAGAGGAATGTGCTTGCGTGTTTGCATATGCCGAAGCAAGGGAATTCCATTTCAAATGGTAATTACAGTCTCGTGAGTATCATTAATGAATTCCAGTGTTGACCACTTGGAATGCTGATACAGGAGGTTTGTGTGAAACCAAGCCTCACATTCTCCCATGATCGACGCAGTACTCTTGCTTATGCCTTTAAACTCTGAAAAACGCTAACGCCAACAGTCTTAATTTTCCTATGTTTTACAGCTTTTGATTCCATCTTTAAGTTATATCCTAAATTTTGCTTTGTATTCAAAACCTTAATGATGTAAATGATGATTGGAATACCATAAACGTGTTTGGAGGTTCAACAGAACGCTTTATCTCTGGCATACGTTACCTTTTTACCATCGGGAGTTGTTTATGTAGTAGATCTGGAATTTGTCATGTGGTCCATGCATGTTTAAGAGGATTTCCTGTCGGCTCACATGAAATTCTCAATCACGGGGAATTCAGATTGATGGGATGCAGAAACCGAAAGCAGTGGTGACGTCGGATTACTTGTAGGCAGTAGAATCATTCCAAGTGGAACCAATTATGACTTTAATTTTGTGTGTGTGTGAATGAGGATTGATGTCAAGAGGGCTGAGGAGTGTGTTATTTGATTATCATTGTATAGGCTCAGAGATGAAGAGCGTAGCACTCTTATTCATGGTCTAGTGTAGTGCCTCGAACTTCAAGCTGTGCTCATCAGCAGAAGTGGATCTGGAGGGTTTTCATCTCTGAATAACTCTTATAGTTCTTTGTGTTTCTGTATTTAGGTTTGAAGAGAGATCAACACCCCATGATGAGATTGCAACTTGTATAGCCACTCTGTGAGTTAGTGCCATACCCTTTGCGTCAGTTAAATGTAGACAAAAACGTACTTTATTAAAATTCTTTAACATCTACAAAATGAGCAAACTCAATCCACCATGTAATTTTATGTTACAGAATTATGTAAAGCTTTCACTAATTTTCCTTTAAGGTGAAGTGTATAATTTCGGCACCATCAGCAGCACTAAAATGGAACAATAAAAAAAAATACTGCAATTTAAAATTTTTTTTTTTTTTTTTCACATTTTTCAAAAACTATATATATATATATTTTTTTTTTGGAATCTTAGCATAGATTGCAATTCCATAACAAACAATCGTCAGAGTTTGAAGGCGGGACTACGCATTTGTTTGACCAGTGGCAGATCTGGAAATGTTTGAAATATGTTAGTGCCACAGAAATTACACGCGTCACATTTAGGTCTCTATAATGAGACTTTCCAAACTATGCTAAAAGTTAGCAAATTTCCCCAAATACTGGCAAGATACTTAACACTATTATAGTCTCTGATTTACCATTGAAAACATAAAATAATTACCATCTATTAATGTCCTGGTAGCCAATCAAGTATTAACTGTTCATTGTGCACTTTGGGAAATTGATTTTTTTTTTTCTTCTTATGACACAAAGTTATGTTTTGTGGAGATAATTTAAAAGCGTTACACTCTTGATATATGTACATCATGTTCAGTTATTAATTTACTGTATATTTGAGTGTTTTGATTGATGCTATTGTTTAGTCAACAGTGTTGGCCCTGTAATCTGACATTATATAAGCACACTAGGAACCGAAGAGAGCACCATTTGTAGAACTGGTTATTTTCAGTTGGTTTCAGTGGTACAGAATTGTTTGTACAGATCTCTCTGTGGCCTTTTACCTACACTTTGTGAGCTTAGTTAGGTTTTGTATCAGCTTTAACGCTCCAAGACCACAGCTACATTATTTCCTTGCTCACCTGTCAGTGTTTTTCGTTGGTTTGTAAAATCGGCATGTTTGAACAGAGGAACAAGTAAGGTATGATTTATAAGAGCTCTAGAAAGATGTTTGTTATGCTGACTCCATGTTTCTTAGGGTGCTTTTCAGGGTGGGTATAGGATGGTTTGGAAAAGGCTTTATTAATGGGGTACGAGGGGCTTGTGTTGCCTTGTATCTGGTTGAAATGCTGCATCGTGCCGTTTTGTCTGCAAGCACAAACGGAAGATAATCAAATGTGCCAATGTCTTCTCTTCCTCTCTTTTGCTGCCCTATTTTTGTTCAATTTATGGGTTAAGGAAGTGGTCGTGGAGATAACACACTGCACGCAAAGCTTTTGAAGACGACCAGATGTCCGGAACTGGATTTGTGAGACTGAAAGTGAGCTGGAACGCTGGACTGTAACAGGTTTTGAGAGCAGCAGGGCTCCCTCTACAGTTTGAGTAGTATTCTTTCAGGCCATTAATACTTTTTACTTGTATCTATGCTTACCGAGACAAAACTCTACCATACATATACAATTGCATAGAGGTTTCTATAGTTTCTTTGCTTGGTTATTATATGCACACAGGTTTCTAATAATTTATAACACCACATCTTCCTACAGCTGCTACAGAAAATGGTGACAAGACACTAAAGTATGGTATAAAACCATCTCTTTAATGTCTAGGTATTTGCTGTTTATCTTTTTTCACTTAATGTCTGTATCATTCTGTACTGAAATGTATATAATGACCTGCCTCTCTTTCCCTTGCAAAATAACAGTTATATTTTTCAATAAAAGAAAAAGCTGGTAAACTTCACCAGAGGGCCGTAATTTGTTCTGATGTTCACGACTGTCAATGCGAATCATCATTTAAGAGTAAAACAAAATACCTGAGCAAGTTTGTTCATGTCGTAGTTCTCCAGTATTGTAGATTTACATGCGTAATAACCATCCTCAGGCTAAAAAACTACTGTATCACAGCTATTCCAGTGTGTTGACTCAGGGAAATTTGCCTTTGCACTGTGCACTTTTTATGCTGATGCAACAGATCTGACTGATTAAATTCCCTCAAATATTAGATTTAAAAAAGTAAGTTGTTCTTAATAATAATTTGATTAAAATGGAGATACTCGGGCTTAGTAACTGTGAGGACCTCTACAAGCGTGAAACATGAACAGAACCGCTCTACCAAGACCGCATCGAGCATTTAATATGGTTTCTGATTGAAATGTTTTTAGGATTTTCATGGGAAATGCATTGGGGGAGCGGAAGGTGAACATGAACAATAAGGTAAGAACACCATGAGGTAGCTTTAAATGCATGGATTGATTGATGTAACAACAACAAAAAAAGTTATGTTATATTTATTACGTTCTATTTTATAGGTGTCATTCTAGGCCTATAGCATAAATGTGTTCCTACTGCCATCTTGTGGTCAATCCTCATTCCACAAGTACAGTTTATATTTTAAGAGACAATGGCCTGGTTTCACAGACAGGGTTTAGCCTAAACCAGGATTAAGCCATAGTTCAATTAGGACATTTAAGTAATTTTTATAAACGTGCCTTAGAAAAAAACATTACTGGTGTGCATCTTGAGGCAAAACAAAGGCACTGATATATTTTAAGATCAGTTAGTGCAAGTTTAATTCAGTTGAAACAGCTCAGACTTACATTTTAGTCTAGGGACTAGGCTTAAGCCTTGTCTGTGGAACTGGGGGATAATGTGTTTTTTTTTTTTTTTAAATTGCAGAATAAGAGAGATTCAATGCAAAGTTTATTTACAGGTTTGTCAAGAAATTGTGTAAAATCTGTTAACTTTTAGTCACTTAAGCTACTGAGAAAGTGCAGACAAAGTCATTTTCATGAATAATATATGCATTGTAAATATTTTCACTGATTGATTATTGACTATTGAATTGACAAAGTAAATACTCCCTAAATACAAAAATACCTTAATTAACCACTATACCCCTTAAAAGATATATTAGTTGATGTGTTGTTAGCATTATAGACAATAATAGCTAATACAAAGTAAATACTTCCTAAATACAAAAATCCTTTAATTAACCACTATACCCCTTACAATATATATTAATTGATATGCTGATAGCGTGATAGACAATAGCTAATATGTCATGTTTTGTGAATGTCCATCTTTCACAACAAACAGGCTTTGATCATTTTCCCATTTGTTAAATAATGAGTTAAGAGAGGAAACAGTTGCCATTTAGAAACAGCATCATATTTAGATGTTCAGGATCCAAGCTGCTTCTTCGACTGGCCACGAGTCTGGCTTTCTCCATGTCAAAGGCAACGTCAGCCGGGACGGCGGTAGATACAACAGCCAGGTATTTGCGTGCAACTTCACTCAGGTACCAGTCTTCATCTTTTGGGAAATTCCAGAATGCAAGAGGATCCCAATCGCTCTGTAACATTTCCTTTTCCAAGTATCTCCTCAGAACCTTATCAAAATTGTCTGGCTGTCTATAGCTTCTCCCTTGATTCTCTTCATCCCGGTGTTTCATTTCAGCAATGATTGTTTTCTTAATACGGGTGGAAATCCCCTTCTCAGAGAGAGCGACGTCTCGGTATCTCAGGTCAAGACCGGTGCTCAATGTCAACCAGTCATTTTCTTTGGCTCTACTGAAGTGATGATTTAAACGTTGTGCTAATTCCTTAGCAAACTCATTTCCGCTCTGTTGCAACTCTTTTAGCTTCTTCCTTATGGCTTCCACTTGCGGTATAATGTCTGAGAGTGAGTGGTATCGTTTTGCTGGTGATATGACATCCTGGAATGCCTTGAGGGATGTTGTTGTCTTTGTTACGTTTTTATTTTCATGCTTACTTAACAATAAGTCAACGTTAAATTCAATTAGCACTAGGCGTATGGCCTCATGCTGCTCTGAGATTCTTTCTAGCATATTTAGCGTAGAAAGCCATTTATCACCTTTGGACTGAGCCAGGTTATGTTGCGGTAACTGCAGCTTTATTTGTGCCTTCTTGAGGTGACCTTGTGCTTCAACATTAGAAAAATACTTTGATATTTTACGACATCTTTGCACCAGCTCTTTCCAGTCAGAAGACATCTCAAGCGTCTCCTTGAAGACCAAATCCAGTGTGTTGGCGAAGCAGGGTATGAGATCCCATCCTGCCTTTTTCATGTCTCTCCTTATCCCATCTTCATTTGTCACTACCACTTTAATCTTGCTTCCAATTCCCCATTTATCTGCTATTTTCAGAAGCTGTCCAACAAAATTACTGGGTTTATATTCTTCGGGTAGAGGTGTGGTTTCCAAAACATATGATCGCCGAGTCCATGCGTTATCAATCAGGTGACAGGTAGTTGTCATATAAGTTTTGTTTGCTGTGGTGTTCCACACTTCAGAAGACAATGCAACGGTATCTACCCTTTCTAGACCTTTTTGCACAATTTGTATTGTTTTGGAAAACAATTGTTGAAGCTTTAAAAGTATATCAGTAGATGTTGGTGGATATTGGAACCTTTCACTCATAGACTTGTAGAAATGTAAGAAACCAGGCTCTTCAACTATGGTATGCAGATGTAAATCTGAAATAATCATATCCAGTAAGGTGTTCCATTGATCACCTAGAAGAAAAAGAGTATGTGCGTGGAAATTTTTGGTTAAAATGCAAGAAAAAGTGTGTGTGTCTGGTGCTGTCATTTTTAGTCAACTAACACAGCTCAAAAATGAACTTTTTAATTTTTAAAGCCAGTATGGTCAATAGATTTATGGTTTTAGAACACCGCCTTAAACTTGTGCTCACGAGTACAAACTAGTCTGGTGTGCTATACCTGTGCATAATATAATTTAGTATTGAATCATTATGACCGTCAAGCACAGGATCTTGAAAGCAAAAGTATGCATGGTTTGATTTTAAATCAAATTTTAAATGTGTGATTTAGTTTGCTCATTTGTTAACGCTCCATAAAGAGAACCCATAGAGAATTGTATTTTTCTCCTTTTATGTTCTCACCTCTTTTTCCCCTGTGCTGATCCTTCATGTAGGGTCTGTATTTTTGAACCCGTCTGGTCCTCCCTGTAGATATACTGTATACTTATAATATCCTTAAAATGTAACCGCTTATTCTTCCTATAATTTCTTACAGAAAATCAAACACTCACCAAATGAAGATGCAATCTGCGGCATATTCAACAAGTTTGTAAGCAAGTATTTTAAAAAAAGAAAACTGTCCAACTTCTCAAAATGCCTTGGAATGAGTATCAAAACCATCTAGTTATGGAGGGAGCAAAATCTGCT